TTTTTCAGCCATTCCCATCACTAGGAAAGGCCTACTAACCATCCCTTCTCCTGGGCTCCACTCATTGCTTTTGGGCCCTTTCTGCCCTTCAACATCAAGAGGGGGCAACTCTTCTATTTCCAATTTTCAGATTCCTATGTCCCCTATCATGAGCTGCTGGTGGAATCTCTTTTTTTTTCTTCCTTTTATGTGCAGGGTAAATTTAATTTATCTTGTAATACTCTAAGCCCAGAAAGCTATCTTTCCACAATCAAAGTGACTTCATTTTGTTAAACCAAAGGCAAATTTCCCATAGATGAAGAAACTGGCTACCCACTTTTGGGCTAAGACTCTTTCTCCCTTGCTCTTTGCATACTGAGTCCTTTCTCAGCACAAGTCTGTGAAGCAGGTTCAGGCCATTCAACAGTCATTGAGCACAAACTATATACTAAGCACCTCTATAGAGGTAGTCCTTGCTCTTGAGGGGCTTTCATTTCTACTGTATGAGCATTAGCCTCATTTTACAGAGGAAAAAATTGGTGGTAAGGGAAGTAACTTGCCCATGGCAAAGGAACTAACAACTAGTGAATGGGAGAGAGAGGACTTGAACCTAAGTCGGTACGATGCCAAATACCAGAGTCTTCACCACTGTGCAGTACTACTTCCAAAGTTTTAAGTCTGAGAATATCCTTTCCAACCCTCTTCATAAACACTTGTGTGGTGCGTTACAGTATGATTATCTTCCGTGGAGGTGAACTTAACTGGATCTTCATATACCCACTTTGATACTATCATAAAGTATCATAGGATATATAATTATTTTGTTGTTATGAGATCAACATAAAGTTTTTAGAATTTTATTTTTATTAAAGTAATGCATGAACAAGGCAACAAATCAAACAGTACAGAAGAGCATATGATCAAAACCAAAAGTCCCTTGCCTCAACCCTCCCCATCTCCCTCTCACTCCCTCCAAGCAACCTTGAAAGGTTTTTGTTGTTATTCTGCTGGTAGTTCCCTTTATAACTCTAGATAACATGTATATAGCTGTTTCTTGGTTTATAAAATTTAGACAATATCCTATTGTCTCTCCTGTATGGCAATGAAGATTTTGTTTATGTACATACACAGCCTTACTTTTCCCTCCACTCCCCTGCATTTTTAAACACTGATATTCTTTTGTTGTTGTTGTTGTTCTTGGTTAATTTTATAACTTGAAAAAATATAACCTCCATTCCTTATTCCATCCATTTTTAACAGATAATTTCAACTGCCCACTTTTTAGGAAAAAGATATTAGGGTCACTACACTCCCCCTGCCCATTCAATGACTCACATTGTCAGTTTCATCTTTCCTTTACATAGTTCAGGTTATTAACATTTACATTCTGTTCTACAGCCACAACCAGGTCTTTCATGTTTTGTCCCCAAGTTGGCTCTAAAACCTGAAAACCAATAAATAGCATTTACATTATCATGACTATGTAAATATTTTTCAAAACCCAGCTGGGTACTAAGCCAGGAATGCACTTACTTCTTTACAAGTCCAAAGACAAAATCTTTGGTCCTCTCAAAGAAGAATGTTTCTACCATCAAGGTCGAAGAGAGTCTCTCTTATAGTCTGTCAGCTGCTTATAATAATGTTATATTTTATTTTGTTTTATATTTGGACCATGATTTTCTCAACAGTTACACATCACACACACACACACACACACACACGCACACAGTTTCTAATAGCCTTTCCTTTTTCTTTGAGTCATTTTCCTTTATCACATTCATTCATTCAACCAATATTTATTGAATGTCTACTATGTGCCATGCACTGTTCTAGAAGCTGAGGTTACAGCAGTGGAGAAGACAGACATCCTTGTTCCCATGGAGAAAATATTCTAGTGAGAACAAGAGAGAAAATAATCAGATAAACAAGTAAAATATACAACAAGTTAAAATGTGGTAAGTGCTATGGGGAAAAATAAATCATGGTAAAAGAAATGGGGAATGCCAGTGAGGATGGGAGATTACTATAGTTTTAAATAGTCAGAGAAAGACTCACTGAAAAGGTAAAATGTGAGCAAAGACTTGCATGACATGAGAGAGCTAACCAAGTGGACACCTGGGGAAAGAACATTTCAAATGAAAGAATAATCAGTGTAAAGGCCCTGGAGCAGGACTGTGCCTACCATTTTTTTTCTCCTGCCTGACATTTTTTTTTCATCTTTTTTTTATTATTATGTTATGTTAATCACCATACATTACATCATTAGTTTTTGATGTAGTGTTCCGTGATTCATTGTTTGCGTATAACACCCAGTGCTCCATGCAGTACGTGCCCTCCTTAATACCCATCACTGGGCTAAACCATCCCCCCACCCCCTCCCCTCTAAAACCCTCAGTTTGTTTCTCAGAGTCCATAGTCTCTCATGGTTCGTCTCCCCCTCCAATTTCCCCCCTTCATTTTTCCCTTCCTGCTATCTTCTTTTTTCTTTCTTTTTTTTTAACATATAATGTATTATTTGTTTCAGAGGTACAGGTCTGTGATTCAACAGTCTTACACAATACACAGCACTCACCATAGCACATACCCTCCCCAATGTCTATCACCCAGCCACCCCATCCTTTCCCCCCCACCACTCCAGCAACCCTCAGTTTGTTTCCTGAGATTAAGAATTCCTCATATCAGTGAGGTCATATGATACATATCTTTCTCTGATTGACTTATTTCGCTCAGCATAATACCCTCCAGTTCCACCAACATTGTTGCAAATTCTCCTGTCTGACATTTTTAGAGAGCATAAAGGTCATTGTTGCTAGAGCGGTGGAGGAAGGCAGAGAGGGAAGTAATAGGATGAGGTCAGATAGGTAATAGGGCTGAATTTTACCAGGCCCTGTGAGCCACAGTGGGATCCACAGGAGAGTTTTGAGCGGAAGTGGGAGAGGATCTGACTTTGGTTTTATAAGGATCACTCAGGCTATTTGGAATATACACTGGTGGTGGAGAGGAGGGTGAAAGTGAAGATGACAAAGGGGGAAGCAAGAAGACCAGTGAGGAGGCTGCAGTAATCCCTTGGGTTGGATTAACCATTTCCTGGGTTCACTGTTCTGGGCATCTGTTCTGGAAATCCTTCTTCAGCTTTGGAAAATTAACTTCTAATATGTTTTTAACATTTTTTTCATTTTTTTCTGTTCTCTCTATCTAGAACTATTATTCAGATATTGAAACGGCTGATCTCTATCTCTTAAAATTTCTCTCATACCTTGTTTTTGTTTTTCTTTCTTTCTTTTTTTTGCCTTACATTCTGGGAAATTCCCTCAACTTTATTTCATGGACCTTCTGTTGATTTTTTTTTTTATTTCAACAACTTATTTTCCATTTCTAAGGAGTCTTTCTTTTCTCTGATTGTTCCTGTTTTGTGGCATCTAGCTCTTGTTTTATTCATACTATGTTTTCTTGAATTTTACTGAGAATATTATCATTTTTTTCTGCAATTCTCTTTTGTTTCCAAAATTCCCAGATTGCTCTGGGATCAGTAGTTTTATTTGTTTACTTTATTCTTTTTCTTTCATGCTGCAGTTTCTTTTAATTTGCCTGAGGATCCTTCGTTATCCATTTCTAGTAAGGGATAAGACTGGTAGCTGGTTTCTCTGTTGTTGTAAAAGCAGGGCTGTTTTCTAAATAGGGCTCTCCTCCATGAGGAAATTCTGACAGAAAGCTTTGTGTGAACTTGGGGGAGGTGGCAACTGACAGGCTATGAGTTGTCCAAATACCAAAATGAGGAGGCTTTATTCTGTGGTACCAAATGCCATAGGACAAGTCTGAGTGTTCCCTACAGAGTTTGTAAAATGACTTTAGAGATTTTGCCTGAAGGTAAATACTGGAGCTGCATGTTCTCTATGTGGGTGAAAAGCGCAGGGAGACAGGGGTTCTGACTGATGCTGATATCCCATGTGCAGACCTTCAGGTAATCTTTTTCTCACCTCATCTCCTGACTCTCATCCTCCACTGTACCTGCAGACACAGTCCAGAGCATCTCCAGGTTCCCACATACTGACTGATGCCCATCAACTCAGCCTCTCCCCAACCTTCCTCCACCTAGGTCTCCAGAGGGACAGGGAGCTTCCCATACTTTTCATCTCAGTCCAGCCTCATCTCACTCTAGTCCTAGCATCTAATATTTACTGAACGCTAACCCTGTTCCAAGCATTCCAAAAGTACACTGTCACTTAATCTTTATCACAACTTTACCTGAACCTTATGAAGTAGGTGTTATTATTATCCTCATTATATAGGAAGAAACAGAGGCTACAGAGTGGTTAATTAACTTAATATTATTAAATATTAATTATTAATATTATTAGCTCAATGTTACATTTCAGTAAGTGACAGAACTGAGATTCAAACCCAGATGATCTGAATCCACTAGTTCTATTTTGAACTACTATGTTATATTCTCACTCCTGCCCTAGCCTGTCTTGGCCTCTGACTATTCTGGAGATTGTAAGTCTCATGTCTGTGGAACCTCTAGTTATGGGACCCAAAGTAAGTCTTTCTTGTCTCAGAGTTAAAGTCAGTGTCAGAAGGGACCAGGATTGGGGCCTTGCCGCACCAACCCCTCTCTCATATCTGCAACCTTTTTAAGATGATCAGCGTTAAGTGACCTTTCTTTGGCCTCAGTTTCTGGGCTCCTCTGGATGTTTATAGGAAAGAAAAATGCCACCTTGAGCCAACATAGCAAACAGACAGACCCAGCACTCTAGTATGTTTAGCTTTTATTCATCTACAGCTGGGTGAGGGGAAAAAGGGAGGCATGGAACTGGCCCCTCTCCAAGCAAGATGCCAGCCCCAGCTCTTGGACAATCCTGGATTGTATGGGCCTCAGTGCCATATTCAAAGCCTTCCCCACCCTTCAGGATAGTTCCTCTCTCTCAAGAGAAGGAATACCTGGAGGTGTAAAAGAGCAAGAATTTGGGGATCAGCTCAGACCCTATGGATGTAAACAACAGACCCAGCCCAGAGGTGAGATGTCTGGGTGGAGATGCCTCATCTGTGTCAGGTTTTTGATGACCATCCTCCTTGAACTGATATACCAGAGACCTCCTGGCCCCACCTCACCCAGCACAAAAGTCAGCTCTGGGATGAGGGAACAAAGCTCTGGGATTTTTGAGAAAATTAGCTCTTTGGAGGGGAATAAGAGAAAGTTATTGGGACTGTTTTCTCAGTCCTACAACTCAGAAGCTAGGGCCAGAGAAAAGAGTTATTATTGCTGAGCATATGTCGGTGCTGCACCAGAGATTTTAGAGTTACTATTTCATTTAGTCCTCACAGTGTCCTCGTGAGCTAAGCTCTATTATTATCCACATCACACAGAGAAGGAAACAGAGGCTCAGAGGTTAAGACATAGTTAGGAAGTGGCAGAACCAAAATTTGAACCTAGGTCCATCTGATCCCAAATGCCTTCATTTCCCACTGCCTGACACTGAGAATGAACTAGATGTATGTTATATGTGGGTAAATGGAGGGATCATGGCTTCAGGAAAGGTGAGGAAGAAGATCAATATCTTACTTGTATGTGACCTCAGTCTCTAGGCCCAGTTAACACATTGGCAAATGTGGACAAGAGTAGTATCTAGCTCAGAGAGTCAATTCGAGAATTAAATAAGATCATGGGTGCCAGGTGGTTATCGTGCTTTCAGTGCATGATGGCACTTATCAGATGCAACTTTTTATACCTGAGATCCTAAAGAGGAAGAAAATATATATGTTTATCACAGTGCTTTGCATAGAGTAGGGCTCAATGAATGACAGCCACTCTATTATACTCTAAAGCCTTGCTACTCAAAGTAAAATCCATGTACTAGCAGCATCAGCATCACCTAGGAGCTTTTCAGAAAAAGCAGAATCACAGGCCCCACCCCAGACTTGCTGAATCAGAATCTACATTTTAACAAGATCTCCAGGAGATTCATGTGCATGTTAAAGTGTTAGAACACTTGTCCAGAGGTCCCTTAATTTGTGATCTTCTGAAAATCTGGTTCTGAGACTTGATAAAGCTCACAGAATATTAAGCAGACTTATGAAATGGATGACAGAGGCTGTTTTCCCTCTCTGGTCCTCAGTTTCTCCACCTGTACCCCGTGGTCTGTTCAGGAGTTCTGGGTTCCCAAGTACATGTTCCCAAGCACATGTAGGCCCAAGGTAGAGTCTACTTAACCCACCTCCCTGTCTTCTTTCTCAGCTGTTGATAACAAGCTATTGCATACATTCTACTGTGCCTTCTCACTGTGCTCACACCTTGATCATCTCTGTCCTGTTCAAGTCACAAGCTGAGGCCCATAAAGCCATTCTTTGACCTGCATCTGCCTCACCTTGCCTTTATCTCCAATTTCACTATATATGTCTGCTTCCAAACTTATTGTTTTATTCATTTGTGTGAACACTTTTTCATTCTTTTGTCCATTTTTCAGCAGAGCATAGTGATAAAGAGCATGCATTCTGAGATCAGACTTCTTGAGTTTGAATCCTGGTTCTGCCAGTTTTGGGACTCAGGACAAGTCACTTCACTTCTCAGGGTCTCATTTTACACATCTGTAAAATGGGGATAAAATTAGGACCCACTTGGAAGGATTAAATGAGTTTACATATGTGTAAGTGTCTGCTAAAATCAGTGCCAGGGACATAAGTCCCTGATAATGTTAGTTTGATTATTTTTTTAGCAAACATTTCCTGATGCCGACTGTGTGACTTGCACTGTGCTGGGTACTACGGAAAGAGGAAGATAAATTACACACAGTCCCAGCTCCCAAAGAGTTCACAGTCTAATGGGGGACAGGAAAAAGGAAGCAGATAGTTTTAATAATATGTTGGGAGAAAAGAGAAATGTGAATGCAGGATGATGGGAATGGTGGGGTCTACCAGGAGACAGTTGTTAGTTCCCCCACCCCCAGGCAGGCAGAAAAAGCCCTACAGAGATGACACATAAATTGAGGCTTGAAATATGAGATATTCACTAGGTGAGCAAGGAGAGGGCAGGGCTGGGGAATTTCAATGTCATTGGAGTGTAGGGCACAAGCAGGAGTAGAGAATGGTCAGAAATGAGATTGGAGGTGTAAGGAAAGACTAGGTACTAGAAGGCTGCCAATGCCAGATCAAGTTCCTGGCCCTTACTTGGTAGTGTCCAAAACCATCTTATGTGTTTGCACACCCAACAGAAAAAACTTGATCAGGTAATCTCCAAATATGTATATTTATTAACTTATAAATTATATATACTACTGAGCAACTATATTAGGTATGGTATGAGGCATATGCAAAAATATAAACAAAGGATGAGGGGAAAAATCCCTATAAGTAGAGTGGTAATCTTTCCCATTCCCTCATGATTTATCTCCAGCACCCCCTGGAGCATGTGCACCTCACTTTAGAAATAACTATGGCCCAGGGAACCTAGGTGGCACAGTTGGTTAAGCGTCCTTCTCTTGATTTGGCTCATGATCTCAGGCTCCTGAGATCAAGCTCCCCGCCTCAGCGGGGAGTCTGCTTGAGATTCTTTCTCTCCCTCTCCCTCTGCCCCTCCACCTCATGCTCTCTTTTTGTCTCTCAAATAAATAAATAAATCTTTTAAAAACAAAGAAATAACTGTGGCCCAAAATGAGGAGACATGGCAAGGTTTTAAGCAAGGAGTGACAATAATGAAATGGAGGTGGGCTGGAGGGGCCAACTGGGAAAGAGAGCTCATTAAGGAACCTGAGCATTGCTGAGGGCTGGAACAGTGCAGTGGTGGTGGGATTAGAGACCATAAAGAGGGAGAAACAACTTGATGTATGTGAAAAGTAAGTAATACAGAGATGCCAACCTGATTTCACCTTGTCTGACCTGGTAGATGACAATGCCTTCTTTGCAATGATAAAAATGGGAGAAGGAGCAGGTCAAGGGGACATAAGTGGGGCCTCATTAGCCCATATAACCCCTTATTGTGAACTAGAAAAGGCCCCCCCTGGCTTTGGGGAGAGGACTCAGATTTAGCAGTTGAGTAAGGCCAGCACAGGCAGTTTCAGTCTTTGCTCTGACCTCCTTCACCAGAGGGGGTCCTTGGACTGTAAACAACCGGTAAGCCTCAACAACAGCCCTGGGCTTTGTCATCTGGAACCTCCTGGCTTTGATGGGCAGATGGCACTCTCCTAGGGAGAGGAAAGTTTGGAGGAGATGAGATGTGTGTTCCTGGCCAGGGAGTTCAGGGGAGAGGTGCTGAGGTGATTAAAGAGGGCTTCCTAGAACCATGATTTTCCATATAGGTAAGATTTGAAGGGACCAGAATCATTGCATGTGAAAAACCAGGGAAAAGAGGGAGGATCAAAGGCAAAAAAGTTAGTATGGATTTGTAGTATGAGGGCTAACCAGAGAAGTTGCTGGTCAAACAATGCAAGGGCCAAGTAGTGGGGCAGAATTTGTTTTTTTGCTTCAATAGGAAAAAAAAACACCGAAAGAATTTTTTTTTAATTAAGCAAAGTAGGCTGGAGGAAATGTTCTTGGGCAGACTCTGTGGAAAGTATGCTTGCTGGAGGCAGCACATACACAGAGGCCCCAGTGTGCTGCTGCCAGACCAGCTCCACCCTACACCCCCACACCTCCCAGGAGACCTTGGGGCAGTGCCAGCCCAGCCCACCCCCACACTAGTGCAGCAATAGTCTGTTTCAGCTGCCTAGAAACACTTCCCGCCTGAGTGGTCTCTTCTACAAGCTGCATATCCTCCTCAAGTGTTCCTGGCAGACACTGCTTTTGTCAAATAACTTCATCCCCACCTCCACCCCACCCCCATATCTGTGCCTCAGTTTCTCCATATGAAAATGGAGACTGTTGTTTCTGCCTCTTACAGAGTTGCACTAATATTCTCTAGGACACTGAATTATCTATCACTCCTTAAAGGACAGCTCTGACCCATCCCTTCTCTTTTCAGGATTTATCCCTGACTCCTTATTCTCCATAGCAAAAGACCTCACTGCCATATGAGCTCCTTGATTCTGGTATTCAAATCCCTTTATTCTCTAGGCCTACCCAACCACTCCAAACTTCCCTCCATACCTTCTTTACCTGTACCTCTGCTCTAACTAAATACTTGCTGTTCCTTGAAATACAGTCTGTGTTTTTGTGCTGTCTATCCAGAATGGCCATTCTACAAATAATTGTTGAGTGCCTGCTGTGTGCTAGGCCATATTCCGTGCACTGTGTATACAGCAGCAAATGAGACAGACAAAATCCCTGCCCTAAAGGAGCTCACAGTCCACTGGAGAAGACAGACAAGGAAAAATTAAACATAGAAGTATATGTCAGTTTGTGGATGAGAAGTGTTACAAAGAAATAGGAAGTGGAGCAAGGGAGATACAGAGTGAATAGGAAGGTGCTATTTTAGAGTAATCAAAGATATCTCTCTGAGGAAATGACATTTGAACAAAGACCTGAAAGAAGATAAGGTATAAGACTTGCAAAGATCTAGAGGAAGAGTGTTCCAGACTAAGGGAACAGTCATTGTAGAAGCTCTGAGGCAGGAGTATGCTGAACAAATTCAAGAAACAGCAATGAGGGCAGTGTGGATGGGACAGAATAAATGAGGGAAAGATTAGGAGGATATGGGGTTAAAGAGGTGGCAGTGAGCCAGACTGTAAAGGGCCATGGGGCTCTTGGTGAGAACTTTGGCTTTTACTCTGAGTTAAGACAGTCACAGAGAGTTTTGAGTGAAGAAGGGACATGGCCTCATTTAGGATTAAATGATCTTTCTGACTACTGTGAAAAGAACAGATCATAAAGAGGCAAGGCTTTAAAGAGGGAAGCCAGTTAATAGGTCATTTGTCCAAGCAAGAGATGTTGGTAGTTTGGACTTGGGTAGTAATGGTGGGAGTGGTAAGAAGTAGTCATATTGTGGATGTATCTAAAGATAGAGCCAAAATTTTCTGATGGATTAGATGTGGAGTGTGAGAGGAAGAGGGGAGTCAGGCATGACTCTAAAATTTTTCAGCCAAACAACTATTTCCTGAGATAAGGAAGACTGGGGAGGAGTAGATTGTGGAGGTGAGGGCAATACCAGGAACTAAGTTTGGGTTATGTTAAGCTTTAGGTATCTATTGGACATTCTAGTGGAAATGTCAACTAAGCAATTAGATATGTACCTCTGGAGTTCATGGGACAGGTAAACAAGAGAGATACAGATTTGGGAGTCATCTGCATATAAATGATATTTAATTTAGAGCCATGAAGATAGATGACTTCACCTAGAGAGTGACTGTAGAAAGAACAGAGGAGGGGAAGGGGAGGTTGAGAACAGTCTTGGAGTGTCCCAAAGACTTAGAGGCCAGGAAGAGAAAGAGCCAACAAAAGAAACTAAAAAGGCATGGTCAGTGAAGAACGTATATCCAAAGTCTCCCTGTTTTTCAGGCCTATCGCTAAGGCCACCTCCTCTAGGATCCTTTCCTAAAGACTTGGGAAAAAAGTGCTCCCTCCCTTCTTTGAAATTTACACTCTATTAGCTTCCTTAGAGCAATGGAAAAAATTGAAGGGGGATGGTAAGCAATCTGATTTAGTATCCCATTAGTCTCTGAGTTCTCTAAGGTCAAGGCCCCCTCCCTAGTCAGGCCAGATGCCTTTGCAGGGATTTGCATTTTGCTTTCACAATTTTTACCACATGTACCACCCACCATATTATTTACTTAATATAGTTTTTTTAAAAATAGATACACTTTTTAAGATTACCTAAATTAGTCTTATCCTAAGCAGCAATATCTGTGAGTTCATGGGTTCATGCGTTAGTTATATTTTAATACATATTACCTTAGACACATAACAATTACAATAAAAATGCTCAGTTGTGTCCCATACCCTTATGTGCCAAAACATGGAATTCACTCAACACTTTGAGAAATGTAAACGTCCCAATACCAGGTCCACCATATGCCAACTGTGTGGTCTCCATTTCCCCACCTGACAAATGGAGATAATGATAACTGCTTCACCTGATTTTATCTGCCTGGCCTTCCCTTCTCTTCTCTTGTTCCTTTTCTCACTCTGGTTCTATAGAACTATTTTGCTCTTTCTCCCTCCCCATCCCCCATCCTTCTCTTCCTCCAACTTTTTTGTTTGTATCCTTCTCTCTATGTTGCTAACCACCTCTTCTTTTCCTTGTTCTGTTTCTGTCTCTTTCATTCCTCCTCTGTAAGGACCATCAACAATGAAGTCTACGTTGCAGAAGTCAAAGAGAAGCACCAGGCAAAGAAAATCTATGAAAAGCTGATCAGCAGGGAAAGACAGTTGCTCATGTAGGCAACAGGTAAGGCTTCATCCAGTCTGAAATGTGACCAATTTCATCTTAGCTGCGCGATCAGGAACTTACACATGTTTTCCTAGGGCCTCAGTTCCTACCTCTGTAAAATGGAGATAATGACCTCTACTTCATAAGATTACATGAAGATGATGTAACTTAATTAATATCCAAACTTGTAAGAAAGTAGGTATTCAATAAATGGGAGTTTACATCCCCATTTCCACTTTCCTCCTCCTAGCAGGATGTGACTTATTTAAGAACTGGCACCTTCTGGGGCACCTGGGTGGCTCAGTCGTTAAGCATCTGCCTTTGGCTCAGGTCACGACCCCAGGGTCCTGGGATCGAGCTTCGCATCAAGCTCCCTGCTCCGTGGGAAGCCTGCTTCTCCCTCTCCCACTTCCCCTTCTTGTGTTCCTGCTCTTGCTGTCTCTCGCTCTCTGTCTGTCAAATAAATAAATAAAATCTTAAAAAAAAAAGAACTGGCACCTTCTAGTAAGGTTATATTCAAGTAAGATTTTTCTAAATTAAATCCTGTTTCCTAACTGAGTTCCATTCTACTGGCAGAAATATAAAGTCTTCCTTCAGTGTTTCCTCCCAGCTTCCAAAAAAGTTTCATCAAACACATAAACGTTAGGTTTGGCTACTGCACACTGAGGAATTAATGACGTATAAACAAGTTTACTCTAAAGCATGGGGAGAGGATGGGTGTGAGGGGCTATTTGATGGGAAAGAGGCATTGTGTGTAAATGGAAAACAATTTTCATAAAACAAAACATTAGCCATTTATTGTTCTATTCTACATTTAGATTTTCACCCCCAGAGTTTCTTTATGTGTAAGCTGTCTGTGGATCAATTTCTCAGGCACAATATTTAGGAGTGTGAATGAGGGAGAGAGATTAATGAGCAGATGACAAGCTATGGGTAAGGGACTTAGTTGAACTGGAAGCCTGGTCAGGTCTGCTGGCGCCAGGGTGGGCATGGGCAGAACTAGATCATCTATCCATTTTCTTCCCCCTTATGAGATCCCATCCCCTTTCCACACTCCTCCCTTTCATGTCCAGAGACTGGATATCAGACAAGTTTGGAATCTCTACTAGCCTGGCAGCAGGTACAGAGGTGACTTTTCCCCTGGTCTATCAGGGGCTGCTGCAGTGGCACCAGGGCCAGTACCTGGTGCTGGTTAGCCTGAGGCTTGGCCAATTGGTCACAAGGCTGAGTGTAGAGGTCACAGTGTCAGAAAGAATAGGCATTGGCTATGTTCACATACCGTCTCTGAGGGCCAGCCGCCTGTACCAACACCCGCAGAAGAATGTCGGCAGCACTATGTGTCAACTATCATATTGGCCTTCCCTAAATGGGAAACTGCACTTGGGATTCCTTTTAGTATCACTTCTGCCTTAACCTTACTGCCAAGTACCCTCTGCATTCATTGAGAAGGGGTAATGTTTGTACTTCAAAATACTTGTGTTATAAACTTGGTCTGACCCTTGCAAGCTGGTCAGAAATTAACAAGTCCAATAACTTTCCAAATTGTGATTTCTCTTATGAAAAAATAAAATTTGCAATAGGGGGTGCTTGTTGGGCTCCATAAAATCATGTGGTGATAAATACTGAAGTTGCAGAAGCTGACCTAACCAAACCTTGCTGAGGGCAATGGGAAGAGAGTATAAAGTGCAGGCTGCCCTTGAGGATACCATCTCAGGCTCTGTAGGCCCGAGAGCTGTCCCGGCTGCCAACCTCGCTTTAAATTTCGTCTGCAGATGTTTGAAGGCCAGACTGGCTACATCAGAATCACTATGTGAGCTGTTAGAAATACAGATTCCTGGACCCCACCCTTCTGGATTCTGCTTCAGTAGGTTGGGGAGGGGCCCAGGAATCTATGTTTTTAACCCATTTGCAGGTGAATTTGATATCCAGCCAGATGGGAGAACCACTGAGCTGGCCTACCCACCTCCTCTGAGAGATGAATGGACAGGCACAGAGAAATCACTCATGCCATGTGGCCACCCTCACCAAGCTGTTTAGCTTGGAGGCCTTGCCTCATTTGAGCCTGCTGGTCCAGAGGGGCAGGGTGGTATACATACATAAAGGAGAGAGACAGCCACACAGGCCTGGGTTCCAATCCCAGCTTTGACCTTCTCCTAAGGTGGGACCCAGGCAAATCACTCAATTGCTCTGCTTCACTTTTCCCGCCAGTACAATGGGGAGATGCCATCTATAGCCCAGGACCATTGTGAGAATATGAGAAAATTCCTTCTTACAAATCACTGGTGCAGTCTCATGAAGATGTGATGATAACTGTAATTGTTTGAGCACTTACTGAGAACCAAGTACGGTTCCAAATGCTTTACATAAATGGTCTCATTTAATCCCCACAATCACTGTCTATGAAATAAGAGCTATTATCATTCCCGTGCTATGGATGAGGAGACTGAGGCTTAGAGAGTGTGAATAACTTGTCCAAGGGCCCACAGGCAGCATCTGAGTCCTTGCAGGCTGCACTCTTAAGCCCTAAGCTATAAATGGCAGCTCCCTCCCCCTTCTCCTGAAAGGTTGAAACAGAGGGTAGAGCCAATCCTGTGGGGAAAAAACAGAACAAAGACCTCTCAAAGGAAGGAAGCCGAGGGAATGTATGTAAGCAGGCGCCTCAGAGAGTATGGGGGCTCAGTTTGCCCCTAAGCTTCCTGGCAGCTGTAGCAGGAAGGAGGGGGGAAGCAGAATTCCCAAGGTTCCATTTTCTGGAAAAAAGGAGGCACAGAGACATGTCTAAATGGACATTTGTCTTGGGTTGGAATTCCAGAAGAGTTGATCTTGTGGCCGGCTCGGCAAACATCCGGGACCAGAAAATCATCTGTGATTTCATGAGGCGCTAAAAGCCTTATTCACACACGTGATTCTGAGAGTCAGAAGGCAGAGGGGGAAGAAAACACATAAAATTCTATCCCAGAGGAGAACCTTGCTAGGCTGCAACTTCCCACAGCAGTAAGGGGCATGGGAGGGGACCTAGGCCCTGTTTCTGTGTTTGTCTCTCTCCACAGCACACACCACACAGCCTCTGTGGGAGGAGACGCAGGTCCCTGGTCTACCTGGGGACATGACACTCCTCCAGAGACTGGGCCCAGGGATGGAGGGCACGTGAGCCAGGGCGGTGTTGTGGGTGAGGGTCAGACTTCCAGAGCCTGGGAGCTGTGGGGAGGGCTGGGTCTGTCAGCCTGGGCCTGCAGGAAGAGGCAGAACAGGAGGAGCTAGTTGTGGGATTTGGAGAGGATTATTAGCACTGGGGCAAGTGGAAGGGTGTTGTAAGCAGGAGGAGCGGCAGGTGGTGCAGGGTTTGCTTTTCCCCATGCTCAGATATTGCCCCTTTTGATGTCCGCTTTCCTGGATTTCTGCTTGGTGAGCCTTCCATGCCACCCATCTCAACCCCCCCCCCCCACCCATACAGGTGAGGCTGACTTGCCCCCATCCACCAGGATTGAGAGGGGAGAGACCTGTGTCTGAATCACCTTCTGCCCAACACTGCAAGACCAGTCTGCCTTCTCCAGCTCAGGCATCTTGGCCCACTTTGTGGTCCAGTACGATGTAGTCATGGAGGGCATCACTGGAGACGTGCAGGTGAGGGAGCCAGGGGAATGGAAAGAGTATGGGCTCTGGAGTCAGACAGGCCTGGCCAGTAATCTGGCTTCTGCAAGTTGCTCATCTGGTTTTCCCTCGAGATCAGTGAGGACGAGTGAACACGGACAGAATGTAGTATAGGGACACATGACTTCACACCATAGGAGACACATGTGCTTCCTCTAAGTGTTAGAGACCTGGAACTGTATAAATTGAATAAAACTCCGAATGAACCCATTCTTTTTTTTTTTTTTTTAAGATTCTATTTATTTGAGTGAGAGAGAGAGAGCACGCAGGAGCAGGGCAGGGGGAGGGGCAGAGGGAGAAGCAGACTCCCCACCGAGCAGGGAGCCCCACACTGGGCTCCATCCCAGGACCCTGGGATCATGACCTGAGCTGAAGGCAGATGCTTAACCCACCGAGCCACCCAGGCACTCTGAAGTGTATCCATTCCTAATTGAATCGAGTTATAGCCCACTCTTAACCAGTCCTTTTGGAAAGTGAACCATTGGCCCGTAATTGGTCTCTCACACTCATGGGGCTCTCACACTTTCTGCAGCTCTGATGCTCTCATGTTCCCTCACACTTTCTTGCCGTCTCTAAGTTTTAAGAATTCTTTTTGCCTCACCTGAGCCATCGGCCTAAACAGGGAGCCCTTAATTCTGAGCTCACACATTCGTGAAGAATATGCAGAGATCCCATGCTCTGCCAGAGGGTTAGAGCACGGATCCAAGACCCTTGGCTTGACAACAACGATTGCATGGCAGCCTGAGATGTCTGCTCCCAGCCTTCCTTTCCTGCCATATCTCTCACCACCTGCAGCACACAAATCACCCTCTGGCTGCCCCACACCACACCACGCCACACCGCACCACACCGCACCACACCGCACCACACCGCACCGCACCGCACCACACCACACCACACCACACCACACCACATGCCTTTCTTCAAAAACACCTGAATTTGCCACTCATTTGTGTCTGAGCATTTGCTCATACTATCTGCTTGCCCTGGGAATGTCTTCTCCCTCTTTTCTCCACTTGTCCTCGTCCTTGAAGACCTTGCTCAAGTGCCACCTCTCTGATGACCCCAGCCCACGGACAATTCCTCTGTCTGCTCTGGGCTAATATAGTGCTTTGGTAACACCTCTTCCCATGCACATATTTACTCATTCATTCATACGTGGATACATCGCCACCAAGCAGAGCTACTCTAGCCCAGTCCTGTCCTCATTGACTCTGGGATCTCAGAAATGAGGTGGACACAACCCCTAGTCTTCCTTTGGAACATCCCAGTCCCTAAGCAGCCGGATACATAGAGCTTCGGCAGTCATAAACAGTTCTAAATGCTGCGTATAAATCTGTAATGGGTTATGTGCAGATACCACTGAGGAGGGTTCCAGGAAAGCCTTCCTAAAGGAGTTGGCCTTTAAATTAGCCTGGGAAAATATGAATAGACTCTACCTCTGCCTGGGTCGATAGTGTGAAGGGAATAGCATGCAGAGAGAGTGGGGGACAGTATGTGTAGAGGCACAGAGGTATGGTACAGCCTGTTGTGTAGGGGGAATAAAATAATTCTCTCTCAGAATAGGAGCTGAGGGTACCCTGCCAGTAGGTGGCAGCAGGGGCCTTAACCTGGTGTTCAATCATGTGGGTGTGTAAATTGAGGCATTTGTCGGCTTCCTATTCTTTACCTTTTTGACCATTGCCTGGAGCAGAACTATAATTAGAACAGATGTAATTAGGCACTAAATAGCAAGACAGATACTCCCATTTACTGTGTGCCCTGACTCCCGCATCCCCTACCAAGAACCCCTCAATTGACCTCCCATTCCTGCTTGAGTATGCCCATCTTTCAAAGTCCAGCACATTCACCCCTTCATTCACTCAGTTGGGACTCCGTATGTACCTAATCTGCTTCATGCCCACTGCTGGCTGATGCTGGGAACCCTGAAGTGCATCACACACAGATCCTATTCACTGTCTCTGGGTGAAACAGACACACACACACACACACACACACACACACACACACACAAGATGAGAAGTGCTCTTCCAGTGACAGCACAAGCTGGGATGGATGCCATCGCGAGGGAAGAAGGTGGTCAGGCAGGGCTCCCCGGCCGAAGTAAAGACCGACCTGGGTTAAAGAATACAAAACCGTGTACCAAGTTGGGAGAGGGGCTGTGGAAAGGGAAAGGCATTCTAGCCAACTGGGGGCTGCCTGATACAGGGAATAAAGGCTGGAAATACCCAGGGGTGTTTAGGGAGCCTCAAGTAGGTTGGAGTTCCTGGAGCATTGATTTGAGGCACAAGAAACGGTAAGAGGTGAGACCGAAGGCTACGAGTGCTGCAGGGGCATGATAAGGAACATGGAATATGTCTTGAAGGTGACAAGGGAGCCATGAGAGGGAATGACATTATGGGGTTTGAGTTTAGAAAGACCCGACTGAGCAGCTGCTGCAAAGATGCATGGATGGGAGGGGCCAAAATAGAAGCAGCAGAACCAAAGAGAAAGAAGTCTTGAATCTGGGTTTTGTTAGTTTGGGATGGAGAGGAAGGGTGGGCCTGAGATATATCCAGCAGATTAAACCAGAAGGAATCTGTGGCTGGTTGGATGTGGGGAGTGAGGGGCACAGGAAGATTCAAGGGTGACGCCAAGGTTTGTATCTGGAGTGACCATGTGGATGATAGGGTCTGTAAATGACAAAGGCACACAAGGGCAGGATGGGGGAAATATATGAATTTATTGTTTGGGCAAAATACATTGGAGGCATCTTCAGACATCCAAGGGAATGGGTCCAACGGTGATCAGGTATGCAGTTGTGGAGGGGAAAGAGTGGAGAGCATTGGATTGGAGAAAAAGGTATTGGGTCATCATGGAGATGCAGGGACTGAAAATATGAGAGCTAGGGAAGTGACCCAGGGAGAATGTGTTGAGCCAGAAGAGCAGATCCAGGATGGCAATTGCTAAGGCACAGCTTCCCAGTCCAGCAGCCATTGATCTCCTCAGCTCTCTGGGTATCCAGCCCCACCAGCTGCCAGCAGTCTGCTCAGAGCTCTATATCCCCACCATTTCCCTCCATTGTGCTACACAAGCATAATCATTTTCTTTGCATGCCACGACTGAAAAAAAATTATCAGGAAGCACTGCTTAAGGGACGGGGGAGAAAATGGAGCTCAAGTAAGAGGCTGAATCAAAGGGGCCAGAAATCTGGTAGGAGAATAAGGAGAGTTTGCCATCTCTGATTCCCAGGACAGAAGATTCTTCTTGGGACCAAAAGTGATTGCCAGTTGTGAAATACATCAGGGAGCTGCAGTCCAATAAGAATCAAAATACACCCATTGAGTTTGGAAACCAACTAGTTATTGTTGCCTTTAGTGAGAGAAGAGTCAGTGTGTGGTGGGGGCTGAAGCCAGTCTGTGGTGTGGAGAGGAATAAGCTGGAGGTGGGCAGACCACTGTAGGTGATGATTTCATTACCTTGGCATGCTGCAGGGAGGAGAGAAGATGGTTTGAAGTTTTGATGGGATTGGGATCAATGGGGACTGTCTTAGTGGATGGAAGAGACACAACACTTTCCGCATCCTAAAGAAGACCCAGTAGCATGTGTGGGGCAGGTTGGAGAGAAGGGTCTGACTGGTGGAGGAGGTGCCGGAGGCTGGGAGTGCATGGGGTCCAGGACAGGACTGTCTGGTCCTTAATGGAGGAAGAGGTGTATGGGTGTGTGAACCCTGTGCAAGGGTGGCGTGGGCAGTCCAAGGGACATGGCCTGGTGCCCTTAATTTTCTTCATTAGGAAGGAAAGGAAACATTTCCTGCCAAGTGAGGTGGCCTGGCAGCTGAGGGGAGCATGAGAGGTTGGTGACCTGGGTCATGCCTCTGGCTTATAAGATGTGAGGTGTGAGGCCACCATGAGGAGATAAGAATGTGATTTTTCTGGAAACACTCACCTGCCCAGGTTATGGGAGGAATAGGAGGGCAGCTGGTCTCTGCCTTGGTTGGGCCTGGGCAGTTGCAGGATGGATGACCCAGGCCTTTGAGAACTGCTGTAGAGTGCCAGGAGAAAGTGGAGACAGAGCCCCCATATGCACTTGTGAATTAATTCAAAGGCTGGAGTGGAAGGAAAGAGCAAGATGTCCTCCTTTATCCTCCTTTCCCCCTGAGAGAGGAGGAGATAGTGTGTCCAGCCTTGCCATTCAGAGAGCTCCTGAATGGCAGAGAGGAGAATAAAGCTGGCTGTCCCAAGGCAGGGCTTACTTCAGGCTACTGAGCAGCATAGACCCTCAGCAAGCCCATACTTCCTTAGGCTGAGCTGACACTGGTCCTGGGGGCCCTCCCAGCTCCCCCCTCCACTTCCCTTAGCTGTTCCAGCCCCCAGGCTCTGCAGAGGGGAGATGGAGTGGGGGAAGGGGGTCAGCAGCCAATCACATCCCTGGCAGGCCAAGGCATCTGCACCTGGTCTAACCAATCCCCTCTGAACAAACAGCTCACTCAGCCTCTGCTCCCTCCTTCCCTGCTTACTCTGCCCAGCAACAGCAGAAAGGAGGTTTAAGGAGGAGAGGGAAGCCCTGCAAACTCCCAGCCCCTGGCAGCAATGGAGCTGGGCCCCTGGCTCACTCTATAGAGGGAGGTTAAAACAATACTTACAGTTCCTGGAGCCCAGGCAAAATGTCCCCAGGGGCCCTCAAGACTGTGCAAGTCAGCTCTCATGGACAGGAACTCACATATTACAGAGATCCTGATCCTTGGAGCCTTGGGCCACAAGCCAGTCTCATTCACTCCACAGCCCTGGGGCAGGCCCTGGGCTGACAGCCTGAACAGCAGAGACACAGTTCTGGTGGAGGAGATGGACATTGAAACAAACAATCGCACAGATGCCTAATTTAACTAGAAACAGAGGCAGGGCCTAGGGAGGAAAAAAGCAGGGTGTTATGTCGGAGAACAAGAGGGGACCTGAGTTAGACTGCCTTTCACAGTTCTTGTTGGTTTCACTTCTTTTTGTCCAGATTTACGAGGGCTATTTTATTCATTACTTTGCCCCCAGAGCCCTCCCACCTGTCAAGAAAAACGTGGTATTCCTTATTGACATGAGCGGCTGGCTCTAAGTTTGGCACCACGATGAAGCAGGTAGCAAGGACCCAGCAGACCCTTCATAGCTCTTGTTTTAGAAGGCTCAGAAAGCAGAGAGTACGGGAACAGTGGTCGCCTGGAACCAGAGACTCTACCTCCCTTCACCCTTGGATCTTATAGGCCGAGGCCTACCTTAGGGTCCTGGTAACCTTGCACCTCAGGAGCCATGTAGCCCCGAAACCACAGAACATTGGGAACATTGAAGCACCGGACAATGGGACTGTAACCATCAAGACCCTTAACCACAAAACTTCAGATCGCCAAGGGGCCCAGAGTCATAGAACCTTCAAGCTGGAGAACTCTGGTGTCATAAAACCTGAGTCAACAAATAAAAAGAAAATCATAGTCAATTTAGACTCTGAACCTTCCAGAGGCCACAGGTTTGTTTTGTCCTGGTTTGTGTATTTTACTTCGAAGCCAGAAAAATACAGTGCACTGGTATTGTAGTGCTTAGAAACTACAGAGTCCTGGGTCCATCTAGATTTAAATATTGTAGCCCTTCTACCAGAGCACCCTTAGAACAGAATACTGGAGCCATAGGCCAAAGAGATTTTGAGTTTAGAGCCTGAATCCATAAAGTTCTGGAAGCAGTATTTTGAATTCCAATACTCTGGGACTCTAGAATTATAAAATTCAAGTGACCTGGAGCAGTACAGTCTATGTGCCTTGAAGTTCTGAACCATAGAGCCCATGGGACCTAAGGCTACTAACTTGTATTTTAGGGTGTAACCAAACCGGGGGAAGGGAAATATTGAGAGCTGTCTTTTGTAGTCTTAAGTGTAGGGGAAAGGATATACCCAACTCCAAACTTTTCTAGCCTTTCCATCTCAACTAAGGTCAGGAAAAAGCTGAGGAGCACTTGTGGAGGTCATAGTTGAGGGGCATAGGTGCCCTAAAAGACTGAGACCTGAGCATAGAACTATGAAATGCTTCTCCTTCCCCCACACAGTATCACCACATGCACTGCATTCCTGTATAACAACAGGAGATTACAGCTGACAGAACTGGAAACCTAGACTCTTTAAGAAAGAATATCCCGAGAAACCCAAGACAATGGAGGAGTCAAAAACAAGGACCCTAAAAGAAATTTTTGCCTCTGACACATGCAACTGTAGCAACTAGCAAGCACAACCTAATTCCTAGCCAGATAAACATAGAATCTCCCACTAAAGACCTATTTACCTCAGGTCTTTTTACGTGATACATCATGTCTGCTTTCACCAAAAACTTACAAGCCATGCTAAAATGAAAAAACACAGTCCAAAAAGATGAATCAACCATCAGAACCACACTGATATGGCAGAGGAATTATTGGACCTGGAATTTTAAATGGCCATGACTAATATGCTACGGGCTCTAATGGGAAAACTGGATAACATGCAAGAACAGACAGGTAATGCAAACAGAGATGGATACCCTGAGAAAAGCAAAAGTAAATGCTAGAAATATAAAACACTGTAACAGGAATGAAAAATGCCTTTGGTGTGGGCTCATTAGGAGACTGAACATGGACAAAGAACAAGTCAATAAGCTTGAAGATGTGTTAATAGGAACTTCCCAAACTGAAAAGCAAAGGGACTAAAGAACGTAAAACAAAATAAGACAAAAGAGAACATCTAAGAACTGTGTACAGTTACAAAAGAAGTACAACACATATGTGTAATGGGAACACCAGAAGGAGAAGAAAGAAAATAACAGAAGAAATATTTGAAGGAATACTGGGTACAGATTTTCCAAAATAAATGACAGTCACTAAACCGCAGGTCTAGGAAACTCAGAGAACACCATGCAGGATAAATACCAAAAAAATCTGCACATAGGCATATCCTATTCAAACTGCAGAAAATCAAAGAAAAAGTTCTAAAAAAAAAAAAAAAGCCCATGGAGAAGATCACCTTACTTATACAGGAACAAGAATAAGAATTACCTTGGACTTCTCTTGAGAAACCATGCAACCAAAAAAAAAAAAAAAAAAAAAAAAAAGAGTGAGCTGAAATATTTAACGTGTGGAAGAACAACAAAACAAAGCAAACAAACAAACAAAAAAAACCCCAAAAACTACCAGCCTAAAATTCTGTATACAGCAAAATTGTCTTTCCAACGTGAAAGAGATAGAAAGACTATTAGGCAAACAAAAATTGAGGGAATTGTTGCCGGTAGACCTGCCTTGCACAGGTAAATGTGAAAAAAAGTTTTCAGAGAGAAGGGAAATGGTGTAGTTCAGATATTTGGGTCTACATAAAGAAAGAAAGAGTGTTAGGGAAGGAATGAATTAAGGTAAAATGAACTCTTTTCTTTTTTAATTAATTGTTCTAACAAAAACTGTTCAAAATAATAACAGAAATAATGTGTTCAGTGAATACAGCTTATTGATAATTGAAATTAATGACAGCAATGTTATATAAGAGACAGGAGGGATGGATTGGGAATATTCTGTCATGAGGTACTTGTACTACACATGAAACTATAGTGTTTTTTGAAAGTGGACTTGGATCAGTTGTAAAAGCATATTGCACACTCTAGGGAAACCACTGAGAAAAAAAATTTAAAACCATAATGGCTCTGCTAAAAGACAAGAGAAAATGGGATCATATAAAACACTCAATTAAAACCACAGAAGACAGAAAAAGAGTAGAAGACCGAAAAAAAGGAGGAAGGAAGGAAGGAAGGAAGGAAGGAAAAGAAAAGAAAAACAAGGGCAGCAAATAGAAAAGGGTTAAAAACATGGCAAATATTATTGTACCTATAACAGTAATCACTTTAACTGTGAATGGTCTAAATACACCTATTAAAAGACAGAGACTATCAGTGTTGATTAAAACCAAACAGAACCTAACAAAAACAAACAAACAAAAAAACCAGACCCAACGATGTGTTGTCTACAAGAAACCCATTTTAAATATAAAGACACAGACAGATTAAAAGTAGTGGGTATGGAAAAAAATAAAAGATACCATGCTGAACACTAATAAAAAAGCTGGAGCAGCTATATTAATTTCAGACAAAGTAGACTTTAGAGCATGTAAATTATCAGGGATAAAGAGATGCATTGTATAAAGGAACAAAAAGCAAATTTCCCTGACAGATAACACACTGCTCGATCTCTTGGTAGATATGGCATCGTTTGCATGGAGGATCTGATTCACAAGATCTATATTACTGTAAAGTGTTTCAAAGAAGCAAAAGACTTCCAGTGGCCCTTCAAATTATCTTCTCCATGAGGTGGAATGAAGAAAAAGATCACCCATTTTGTGGAAGGTGCAGATGCTGGCAATAGGGAAGACCAGATCAACAGCTTATTAGAAGGATAAACTAAGGTATCTACCATCATTATTCCTGCAATCTGGCCAGTTAATACACAATGACTGCTTTCAGACTGAAAAAGAAATCTTATATAACTAGAATTATATAATGGCTCTCCAAGAAGACATGACAATCCTTAATGCGTAATGCACCTAACAGTAGAACGTCAAAAGACATGAGGCAAACACTGATAGAAACTGCAAGGAGAAATAGATGAAACCACTGTTATATAGTTAGAGACTTCAGCTCCCTTCTATCACAAATGGACAGATCCAGCAGGCACAAAATCAGTAAGGACATAGTTTAACTGAACAACACCATCAATCAATTGGATCTAACTGACATCTACACAGTACCTCATCCAACAACAGCACAATACACAACCGTCTCAAGCTCACGTGGAACATTTGCCAAGGTAGACTCCACTGTGGGCCATAAAACACGCCTTAACAAATTTAAAAGAATATAAATCATACAATAAATATATGCTCTCAGACCAAGTGGAATTAAACTAGAAATCAATAACAGAAAGATAGCTGGAAAATCTCAGTAGATTAAACAACATACTTCTAAAAACATAATTTGTCTCTGGTTAACGGGAGATTCTCGGGAAGGGCCATCATGCTCTATGTTGCAGTCCTCTGAATGAAAACAAGAATGAATGGTTAAATCCTTAAAACCATACAACACTTAGGCCTTAGTACCTTGTATAGAAATAACCTTTCAGTCTTGAGCAAGACCTCAGCTCCCTATTCCAGAATGTGTGACCTGAGCTCATCCCGTGGCAGGAAAGACTCTGATCCACTTGAAAGCATTCAAGGCATCTTCTATCAGTTTAAGGTGTAGAGAAAGTGGGCCACAAGTGGTATTCCTTGTGGTCTCTGAAATCTATAACAATATAAAATTTTGAAGGCATAATGTTTAACATCTCCAGACTATGGATTTGAGTCCCTGGCTCATCGGTGACTAGTTGTGTGACCCTGAGCAAGCCACTCCAACTCTCTGAGCCTCAGTGTTGTCACTGATAAAATGGGTATAATATCAGTACCTTTTTCATTGTGTTGCTATGACGATTAAATGAGCTGATGCATCTAAGCATTTGGCACAGTTCCTGGAACATAACAAGTGCCCCATAAGTGGTACCTAATTCTAGGACCTACATTCCGTATTCCCTGAACCTCCTATGTGCCCAGCCCTATGCTAGGTATTGTCATGGAGAAGGGAGCCAATAGGAAGAAGCATTCGAAGCCCTGTTCTCAGAGGGCTCAACATCTCTGTGGAAAATGAAAATATTCTACGTATGACAGTCAGCAAACCATCTGGGACAGGGAATATCTGGGTACAAGGGGCATGGGTCAAAGTAAGCAATCAAGGAAGGGCTGCCCAGAGAAGGAGCAGTGAAGATACGGATAAGTAAAGGGGAAGTGGGAAGGTCTGTTATCCAAAGGGCTCAACAAGAGCAAAGTTGTGGAGGAAAAAAAAAAAAGGAATCTGGGTTATCTGGGGGCTGGTGAGAAGATCCGCCTGGAAGAAATGGAAGGTGAGGTAAAAGAACAGATTACATAGGGCAGAACTAAAGCATGCCAAAGTCACTGAAAGGAAGTTATAAAGACCTAGAATCATAAAGCTCTTAAGCTTTAGGGTGCTGGAATCACTGAATCCTGGGTCATGCGGTCCAGGAACCATGGAACACACAGGACTCTAGCACCCTGAATGCATAGAGCTTGAACCTTCTAGACCACCACTGTCTAATAGAACTATCTTGATGATGGAAATGTTCTAAAGTTCTGAGGTGTCCCATACAGTAGCCACTGCTCTGCAATAACTCTCGTGTGGTTATTGGACACTTGAAATGTGGCTACTGAAAGTAAATCCTAAACAGGATTTAACATTTTTTTCCTTTTAATTTTAACTAACTTACGTTTAAGTAGCTACATGTGGCTAGCAGTTACCACTGGACAGTGTAGGTCTAGGCTTAGATCCATAGGGCCTATAGCATTTTGCCCTGAGAATTCTAGACTTCCGGAGTGCCAGAGTCAGAGAGTCTTAAAACCATACAGCACTTAGGCCTTAGTACCTTGTATAGACATAACCTTTCAGTCTTGAGCAAGACCTCCAGCCTTGGTCCATCTCCTTCACTTCATCCATATCCCACAGACTGAAAAGGCCACGAATGTGATCCTGGGTGACCTGCGGGTCAACGACCACTCCAACATCATCACCTTTTCTGACTCGGTTAGTGTCTAGAAAGCTGGAGGCTCCATCCAGGCTACCATCCAGAATATCCACAGCACCAAGGACTACCTGGGTCACATGGAAGCTGATGGTTGGAAGTGTTAGACCTACCCACTCAAATGGATGGGCTGTGGTAATGTGGGGAATTCCTTTTTATTTTTTATTTATTATTTATTTATGTTTTCTGTTTTAGGTAGGCTCCACACCCAAGGTGGGGCTCAAACTCATGACCCTAAGATTAAGAGTCATGTGCTCTACCGCCTGAGCCAGCCAGGTGCCCCAGATGTGGGGAATTCTTGAAATGCTCCCTTCATTCCCCCATCCACCTCACCTCTCACAATACCTGCAATATCACTATTATATTTTATCCAAATATGTCCCTTCATCCTTCTGGGTCCCTTTTCCTAGCAGAAAGAACATAGCACTATGTATTTTAGGGCACATTCTTCTTTGGCCCTGGGTTTCTTTAAAGCATATACTCAGAAGAATTTGCCAAAACTTTTTAAAATCAATAATCTACATATTTATTTCCAAGCATTTGGTCAAGCTGCTGTCCTGATTCTGGCTTTTGATCAGTCGTCTCTCGGAAAAGTACTGAAGTCTCCCCCACCCACCACCTCCTGTCAACTCAGCCCTTTCTTCCCCTGTAGCATGGAGGTGGGGTTGCTATCATTGGGGAGCTGCCTGTCTGACTAGAAAATTAAGATATCCCCCCAAGAAACAGGCAAATCATAGTCTGAGACAGGGAATGATAAAAGCCAAGGACATGTGGGCCCCACTGTCAGATCTCAGGGAGCCTGTGTGGGAGTGGGGGAGTTGGGAAGGATAAGCAGCAGAAACAGTCTGAGCAAAGATAAGGAGAAATGACTGAGCCTGAGAGGTTGGTGAGGTGCCCAGAGTGTCTGCAATGGGGATAGAAATAACTAGAAAAGATGGTCTCACAGTCAGCTTCCCAGTTAGGGACCAAATGTTCACCCAGCTCTGCTAAACCATAGCAATGCTAGACCACAGCAATCAGGAGACTGGACGGGGCCCCAGTGCGGGGAGGATTCCTCTCATCATCTTCCTGACAGATGGGGAGCCCACAGCCAGTGTGATGACCCCCAGGGTGATCCTCTCCAACATCTGTCAAGTGCTGGGCAACAGGGTGTCCCTTTTCAGTTTGGCCTCTGGGGATGAGGCTGACTTCCCATTGCTGTGTCACCTGCCCCTGGAGAACTAGGGAGCAGCCCGGTGCATGTATGAGGGCACTGATGCATCCCTACAGCTGGAGGACCTCTATGAGGAGGGCCTCTCCATGCCTCTGCTGGCAGACGTGCATCGGGACTGCCTGGGTGGCTTGGTTGGGGCTTCCCCTTGGGCCTTTCCCCCCAGTTTTTCTGGGGGCTCAGAACTGGTGGTGGCAGGACAAGTGCAGGCAGGCAGGCAGGCAGGCAAGCAGGAACTGGGCATCCACCTGGCAGCCCGTGGCCCCAAGGGTCAGCTTCTTGTGGCCTGCCACAGTGAGGTGGCCACCAACAGCAGCCAGAAGAACTTTGGTGTCCCAGGGGAGCCAGCCTACAATGTAGCCCACTTCACCGGCTGCCTCTGGGCCTACATCACCATTGGAGAGTTGCTGAGGGGTGCTTCCCAGCCCATGACACCACCACTCTCCACCTGCTGGCTGCCAAAGTCCTCAACCTGTCCCTTGAATACAACTTTGTCACACCTCTGACTTCACTGGTCATGGTGCAGCCCAAGGAGGCAAGTGGGAAGGCCAGGATACAGACTTCCACTGCAGCTGGACCAGGCACCATTATGCCCTCACCCACCAGCAGGCATGGCCTAGGGACAGGCACAGCCCAGTCAGCCTTGGTACCCAAGGTGTCTCCCAAATCAAGGCTTGTGAAACCAAGGTCCTATTTATCCTCAACGACTCCTGCCTCTATAGAAATTATGCCCAGTTCCAAGGAGTTGGAGCCGCTGGGTCAGAGCACTAAGTACCCTATCCACCCCAGCACACCCAAAGCCCCCAAATCCAGCACAACAGGATTCTGGACCTTTGGTTCAGCCCACTCTCAGAATAAAAATTGCTGCCTTTGGGCCCTCAAACTCTGGTGCCCTGTTGCTTACGAAGCCCAGCGCACCATCACACCAGAATCCTGGTACCCTATTACCCATGAATTCCAAGACACAAGTCCCACCTCTGAATCCTGGCACCCTATCCCAGCCCAAAGCTGGCATTATGAAACATGTTATTCCACTGCCCTCCAAACCTGGTGCTCCATCACAACCCAAACTGGGTGTTCTATCACACTCTCAACCTGGGGTACTCACATCACAGTCACCCAAAAGCTTGCCACAGCCCAAGCCTGGAGTCTCCACACTTCAGATCCTCAAATACCTACCACACACTAGACCAAATGTTCCTGCTCACAAGACCCCAGACAATCTGTCACACCCTAACCCCAGGATCCTCTTACCTTAGACCCCTAAGATAATCCCATCACCTCTTAAATCTAGTACCCCACCTCCCCAAAATTACCCAAGCTTATCATTTTCCAAACCTAAGACCCCAATCCCCAATAAACCCAAAACCCCATTACCCCCCAGACCTGCCAGACCTATGCCCCCACCTCCTCAGGATCCAAGCACATTCACAAGCACAACCTCAAGTCCCGCAAGTCCCAGCAGTACCATGACCACCTCTGTCCTTGGAGAAGCCCTCCCTATTACCTTTGACTCCGCCTTGCCCTCTCAGCTGCCCCGAGAAAGCTCTGGCATCAGCATGACCTGCTGCTGGGGCCCCAAAGCACCAGGCAAATTCTGGGACTCTCTGTGTCAGAAGTCCCAACAATGAGCCTACCGAGCAGCTCCAGGCCTGTGCCAGAAGGCAGCCCCCCAAACCTGCCAGTCTTGCTGCCTTCTGGCACCCTCCCTGAGGCAGTCAGCCTACTCCATCTCCCTGAGGAGCTAGAGCTGCTGTCTGAGTCAATGGTGGAGTCCATGATCATGGAGTCCTTGAATCCACCGGCTTTCTATACCTTCCTCACTCCTGATGAAGATGGTGAGTGCCATGGGCAAGAGGTCAAGCCATGCGGGGGAGGTATGAATGGAGAGCTCCAGGGATTGGGAGCGTACAAGGCTTCTGCAGATTCTAGTGATGACAGTTGCCTGATTGCTTGCTTTGAAACTTTGAATCAGCGGCTTAACCTCTCTGGGCCTCAGTACATAAGCACAGAATTAGGGGAGGGATGTTAAGACTGGGAAGGCTAAACAGAAACAATCTGGTCAAGCTGAGGTTTTGACATTTGCTTTGTCGGACAAGAGAATTGCTCATGCTTCCCAAGCAGGGTAGGGATACGGGGTTCTAAATGGAAGTACCACTGGGTAAGGCAGGTCTGATTAGTTCTTTTGTGCTCTGTAAACCGCCCTGCTAACAGAGAGGGGTTCACAAATTGGAAAAGATAATAATTATTATCTTTAAATTGCCCAAAGACTGTGAAGTAATAACAGTTAACATTTTTTTAGTCCTTCCTATGTGCAGGTACTCGTCTACATTTTGTACTTTTAGTCCCTCATTTAACACACACACACACACACACACACACACACACACACACAACCTGTTGAAATCTACATTTTACTCATGGGGGGAAACTGAAGTACAGAGAACTGAAGTAACTTATTCCATGTCACACAACTAGGAAGAGATTTGGACCTACATTAATTTGGTCGTAGACTGAATGTGCTCCACCACTCCTTTGTTCTGTCTTCCTAAGAAGAGTGACATTTCCTGGGAGACCTTATAGGATGGGATTAGAACCAGTTGGTGGTGGCAGTAAGTCACAGGGATACAAATCTGGGCATGAGATCCTTGACATGCCCCTCTACCACCCGCCAATATCCCATCCATCTTCAATTCTTGGCAATATTACCTCTGACATATTTGCCAAATGCACCCACTTCTCACCACCCCAACTGTCACTATCTTAGGGCCGATTACCATCGTGTCTACCCCAGAAAACCGGTCCAGTCTCCTCACTGGTCTCCCTGCTTCCTCTCTCAGGAGATTTTTTTTTTTTTTTTTTTTTTGCAGCAGCCAGAAGGGGCAAACGGATCGTTTAAAAACAAAGATTACTTCATGTCCCTTTCTTAGCCCCCCTCAAGGGTTTCCCATCACACCAGGAATGAAGTCCAAAGTTCTCTTCATAGCCTACAAGGCCCTGCGTGATCTGCCCTCTATCTCATACCCCTCTGACCTCACTTTCTCCCACTCACTCTCTGAACTCTAGCCCCCCTGGCCTGCTCTCTATTCACTAATGGGCCCTGCCTCAACCCCATCTCCACTCAGGGATCTCTCTCAAGCTATTCCCTCTGTTTGATAATCGCTCTGCCCTGCCCTGCCCTGCCCCCTGTGTACCATCTTCATCTCTTGCATTGCTACTCAAATTCCAGATCACACCTTAGATCTCAGCTCAGATGTCCTTCCCACCCTCTCCCCAACCGCCCCAGACTTAATCAAATACCTGTAATTCCCTCAGTCACTTTATTATTTTTTTCTGGGGCTCCTGGCTGGTTCAGTCAGTAGAGCATGTGACCCTTGATCTCGGGGTTGTGAGTTCGAGCCCCATGTTGGGATGTAGAGATTACTTAAAAATAATACTGGGTGTTGTATGTAAGTGATGAATCACTGAATTCTATTCCTGAAACCAATATTGCACTGCATGTTAACTAACTAGAATTTAAATAAAAATTCGAAAAGAAGAAAAATAAAATTTTGTTTGAACTACTAAAAAAAATAAAACCTTAAAAAGAGAGAAAGTGAGCAAGTGAGAGAGAGAGAGAGAGAGATAGACAGACAGAGAGAGAGATTCACAAAGACCCAGACACAGAAGCAGAGGAGACAAGAAACACAGTGATACATAGAGACACAAGGACACAGAGGTAACCAGGGAGACATAGGTCAACACCATAGTCCAAGACACCAAGGACTAAGAAGTACAAGCACAGAGATGTGCTGACATGATGACTTACAGACACGGGATAGGGGATGAGAGGAGAAAACAGAGACACAGGACCACAGATCTACAAACGCATAGAAACAGAGATGCTGCACACACCAAGACTTGGTAGCAAAGACCCAAGGACATGGGCACACGCAGAGGAGCACACTAAGAGTGGAACTGGAGCACAAACTTATATACTCAGAGATCCAGTGGCAAAAACGTGGGGAGGCAGACACCCAAACTGTGACAAACACCAGCTAAGACACAGGGGTTAGGCTAGGTAACAGAGAGACATAAAGACAGGCAAGCTGGAGGCCCAGATATAATGGAGACACTGTGACATAGGGACACAGGAATTTAGAAAGGGAGGGAGAGAAAGAGAGAGACAGACAGAGAGAGAGAGAGATCCTAGAATAAGTAGACATGGGGATGTGAACCCACAAATACAGCCATATGGATACAAGCTAGAAATGGGAACAGATACACAGGAACATGTCTGGGAGGATCAAGATAGGAACAAAGAAACCTAGACACATAGAAACAGACACACAGAACATAAACAAATGGGCAGAGACACAGTGACAAGGAAATCTATCCAGAGAGGCAGGGAGGCAAAGGCACAGAATAAAAATAAACCTGGGGGTACGCAGAAATAGAAACACACAAATAGGCCACAAATGAAGAGCTGGGGACAGTGAATCAGGCACAGGGGCACAGAGAGTGGCTCAAAAATAAAAAGACATGAGTAGGAGAATACAAAGATGGCAGCAGTGTAGGGGAATGCTATGCTCACCTCGTCACACAACCAGAACTAGATAATTATCAAATTATCCTAAATACCCCAGAAATAGCCCAGAAGACTGACAGAACAAACTCTGTAACTAAAGGGAGAAAAGAGGCCACATCGAAAAAGGTAAGGAAGTGGGGAGACATGGGTTAGGGGAGAAAAGAATCCTGGGTGCTGCAGAGGGGAGGGAGCTGTGGTCACAGAGAAGGGTAAGAATGAGGAGCACGCAGGGGAATGCCCAAAGAGAATGCATCCCCAAAGCCATTGGCTTGAAAAACAAGAGTGGCTGAATTTCACGAGTTCTTGCAACCAAGGGGGCCTAAAGGCTGGAGTTTTAGAGGTCAGTGGGCTTGGCTGGAATAGACTTGGAGGGCACTGCGCTGCTCCTGGAGAGAAGCCAGGCAAAGGACCTGAAGGCAGACAGTGTGGAAACAGCAATCTGAAATCACCTGGGACACACAGTGGGAGAGTTTATTTGTTCTTCTTGTAGTGTGTCTCTGAGAGCCAGTATTTGTGGAGATGCTGCTCTGGGGACAAAGAAGCTGACTGGCGCTATTTCCCTCCCCTGACCCACAGCATAAACAGGGAGCCACCTGGAGCAAGCAACACAGCGCCCACACTGGCTGCCTAACCTGCTTACACCAAGCCCCACACCCCTGTGCTCCGAGGGGACTGCCCTTCTCAGTCAAGCTTGCTCCAGTCCCAGCGCAGAGGGCCCCTTCCCAGAAGACCAGGAGAAAACCATGCCCACATCACATCTCCCAACCAGAGAGTTCTGCAGGGCTTCAGTTCCAGTGGAGGTACTTTCAGGTCTCATCTAACAAGCAGACTAGAGCACACCTACCTAAAACTCACCACTTTCTGGCAAAGGACCAAACACTGCCCACTGCAGGCAGAGAGCCTCTGCAGACAACTACCCTGAAGGATAGAGCAGCCAAAACACTCCTGCAGAGTGCACACGACACACACCAGAGACACTCCCTGAAGTGCCAAGCCCTGGACACTACATGACCTCTTCTTCATAAAGCCATTGCTCTCAGGAGCAGGAAACATAACTGGCTATTCTCACACACAGACGAAGGCAGAGACCTAGACAAAATGTCACATGGAGGGATTCATCCCAAATGAAAGAATAAGATAAGGTCATGGCCAGAGATCTAAGCAAAACAGATATGAGTAACATGAGTGATGGAGAATTTAAAGCAACAATCATAAGAATACTCCCTGGGCTTGAGAAAGAGTAGAAGATTTCAGGGAGACCCTTACCACAGAGATAAAAGAGTTAAAAGCCAACCTGACAGAAATGAAAAAGGCAATAACTGAGATTCAAACCCGGCTGGATGGAATAACCACAAGGATGGAAGGAGCAGAGGAATGAATGAGTGATATAGAAGATAGAAGCTGAACAAAAGAGAGAAAGCCAAACTATGGATCATGAGGAAAGGCTTTGGGAACTCAGTGACTACATCCAACATAATAACATTCGTATCATAGGATATGAGTCCCAGAGTCCCAGAAGAGGAGTGAGAGAAAAGGGGACAGGGGGTTTATTTGAGAAAATAATAGCTAAAAACTTCCCTAATCTGGGGGCAAAAACAGCCATCCAGAACCAGGAGGCACAGAAAACTCCCATCAAAATCAACAAAAACAGGCCAACACTAAGACATATTGTAATTATATTTGAAAAATAGAGTGATAAATTAAAAATCTTAAAATCAGCAAGACAAAAGAAGTCCTTAACCTACGAAGGAAGATACATAAGGCTAGGTGAGATTTCTCAACAGAAACTTGGCAAGCCAGAAGAGAGTGGCATAATATATTCAAAGTGCTGAATGGAAAAATCTGCAGCCAAGAATACTCTACAGCAAGGCTATCACTCAGAATAGAAGGAAAGATACAGAGTTGTCCAGACAAACAAAAACTAAAGGAGTCCATGACCACTAAAACAGCATAATATTTAAGAAATATTAAAGGGACTCTTTGCAAAGGAGAGATGAACAGGGATAATGACAAGAAAGGATCAGAGAAAATCTCCAGAAATGACAAAAACAAGTAATAAATTGGCAATAAGTACATACCCAGCAATAATTATTCTGAGCGTAAATGGACAAAATGCTCCAGTTAAAAGACATAGGGTGTCAGAATGGATAAACAACAACAACAACAACAACAACAACAACTGAGTCTCATCTATATACTTCCTACAGGAGACTCATTTCAGACCTAAAGACAGCTGCAGATTGAAAGTGAGGGGATGGAGAAACTTTTTTTTCACACAAAAGGATGTCAAATGAAAGCCAGCATACTGATTCTTGTATCAGACAAACTAGACTTTAAACCAGACTGCAGCAAGAGAAGAATGACGCGATTCATAGTAAAGGGGACAATACAGCAAGAAGATCGGACAATTGTAAATATCTGTGCACCCAACATGGGAGCCCCGATAAAACAATTAATAACAAACA